TATAATAATAATTAGTATTATTATAGAGATTATGGGTTAAAACCAATCTAAAATTGGCAAAACTTTGGCTTGATCGTAAAGAATATAATAGATTAAACAAGGTATTTAATTCTATATTTACAATTAAATGATACTTCTTTTAATTGGTGTAATAATTTATTTATCTATCTCTTCTTTATAATTTAAATCAAATCAAGATACTTCGACAACTTCATGCATCTTGTCAAAAAGATGACGGAACTGATGATCAACGTAAAGGAACACACTTGTTGGAAATTTTTGCATTGGAAATTCAAATGTATACAGAAACAAAAAATAATAAAAAACTAAAAGTATACGTTACCTTAAAATCATTTATTTTGTTTTTGTTTTTTATATTCATTGAATAATTTCTAATAATTTTATTTATTTATTTTAGGCATTATGTCAACAATGTCTTCATGTTAAATCAGCCATAATAATAATATAAAATTTGTTAATTGAAAACTAATTTTTTGTCAGAGGAATGGTTTAAAGCTCAAACGGACTTCTTTGAATCTTTCAAGAATTATGATGAAGCTGGAAGTCCTCAACGTATACAAGTATTAAAGTAAGTGAATGAATTGTGATTAGTAGGTTTTAGACAAATTTTATGATGCACTTAAATACATTAAATTGATTTAAATTTTTTTTTAAATAGCGATAGAGCGTGTTGGAATAGATCGTATTCTAGAAGCACTTCAATCTCATATGTGGGAAGGTTTGACTAGGACAAATAATAATAATAATCAAATAAATCTCATAGAAGATGAGGATGATGACAATTATCACAAAGAACTTTACGAAGGTAGAAATAACTTATCTACTATAATATAATATAATATAATAATATAATATAATATAATATAATATAATTTATAATAAATCCATTTACAGCAATGTCGAACTTAAATTTTGAACAAAAAAATACAAATAAAGAAGGATTGATGTTATTAAAAAGTGACGACGAAGAAGAAGGAGAAGGAGAGTCGACACAAATTGAAGGCTCTGATGATGATGAATTTTATGGAGAATGTAATAATTTAATTTTATAATTAATAAAATATATAATTGCAAAATAATGCTTGCATATATTAAAAATATATTATTTATTTATTTTCCAATCTAGCAATGGTAAATCAAGAAGAAGTAGAATTAATGTATGATCAAATATTTGGTGATTTTGATGAAGAAGATGGATTGGACAAAGTATTATCAAAATTAAATAATCTAAGAGGTAAAAAAAAAAAAATTCTATATATATAGAATATATTGATAAAATTATATATATTGATAAAATTATTATTAAATTAT